TGCTGCATATATACAAACTGATTATCCATAACTTTATAACAATCCAGCTAATATTGAATAGCCCCCCCCCCCCCCCCCTTTTGGCACCAAAACAGCCTAGACCCGGCGAGGCATGGACTCCACTAGACCTTTGAAGGTATGCTGTGGTATCTGGAATCAAGCCGTCTGTAGAAAATTCTTTAAAAGAGAAGTATGGCCAAAGACATATGGCACTTCTTTCTGCACTCCTGTGACCCAGATTCAGTGGGCTACAGCCTCTCAGTTGGGATCCTCCCAGATGCCTGACTGGCAGTTGGCTCATCTTCTGCCTCTGCAAGACTGAGCCGGCTGATCCCTCCACAGCCCGGTGCTCCAGAGAGCTGGTGATTGACTACCCCCTGCTCAATGAAGGCCAAAAACTGAGCGATCAGGGGTCCTGTGATCACTCAGTTCTCAGTCTTAGAGCGGCAAGGGACAGATGCAGCATCAGATTGATGCTGCAGCCATATAGGTGAGTATTTATGTTTGTTATTTTGATTTCTCACACTTCTCCTTTAAGTCCTATAGGTTGCAAGGTGGGGCCTCTATAGATTGGTATTGCCTTCCCAGCACATTCCATGGCTGCTTGATTGGATTGAGATCTGGTGAATTTTTAGGCCAAGTCAACACCTAGAACTCCTTGTTGTGTTCCTCAAACCATTTTTTTGCAGTGTGGCAGGGCTCATTATTCTGCTGAAAGAAGCCACTGCCATTAGGGAATGAGGTTCCCATGAAGAGGTGGACTTGGTCACCAACAATGTTTAGGTAGGTGGTGCGTGTCAAGTGACATCCACATAAATGGCAGGAGCCAAGGTTTCCCAGCAGAAGATTACCCAATGCATCACACTGCCCCCACCAGCTTGTCCTATTCCCATACCGATTCTTGGTGCCATCTTTTCCCCAGGTAAGTGATGCACACTAACCCAGCCATCCACATCTAGAGGAACCCTAGCACTCTATGGAACCCTGGTTGAGGATCCCCACTCTAGGGGAAACCTAGCCTTCCATGCAATTCTAGGGATCAGTAGGGGGCCCCATGAGATGCCCCTGGTACCTTTTTCATAGGTTTTTTTGAGTTTGAGGAAGGACCCAGGGGCCCCATGATCCCCTATTACCCGGGGGTCCCATGAGTTGCCAGTCTGCCCCTGCCTACCAGCATGTCTTTGGAGTGTGGGAGGAAACCAGAGTACCCAGAGGAAACCCACGCAGGCACAGGGAAAACATGCAAACTCCAGGCAGGTGGTGCCCTGGTTGGGATTTGAACCAACAACCCGAGTACTGCCAGGCAGAAGTGCTGACCACTCAGCCACTGTGCTGCCCGCACTTGACGTTTTCCCTTTAATCAGCTCCTACGCTTTTCCTTCTATACATTCAGCATTTTGCATCCTTTGCACACCCGGAGGTCACACATTTACATCATCTGATCTTCAATTACACGCCGTCCCCAGTCTGCGCTCACCATACGCTTTCACCCTATGAGGTTGAGGTCTCATTAAAAGCCTCTCCTGCCCCCCCAGCCATGGGCCCGGGCAGTTGGGGATGCGGAGATGTGACCTCTGATACGAGTTCTTCCTAGCTGCTCCTTTTCCCCGGCTCCCTCCCTCCTCTCCACTCCTCATTGCTCTGACCTTTAAAAAGCCTTGGTCCTTCCCTCCCCTCCATCCATCTCACAGTCCCCTGTCTACACCACTGAACTCCTGCTGCGAGATTAATTGTTCCCATCACCCCTAATCCATCACACTTCCCCAAGATTGTTTTGACATTTAGTTAATTTTTTGGCTGATGATTTATCAAATTCTTATTACCATGCTCTGAAGGGGTTCATTTATTGTGTTGATTCATGGTAATGCTAAAAGTGGAAGCCTGCGGAATTTTAAATACTTCTGCTGCCTTGGCTCCGGCTTCCTCCGTGTCTTCTTCCAGCAGCCGGGGGAGAACGGACCGCCATAGTGCGGAGGCCTGCGAAAGGAAAAGAGAGCGGAAAACAAGGAGATGGGAAAAAGAAAGCGGCTATACCCGGCGCAAATGATGGAACAAGAAGGAACCATGACAACGGGAAATGGAATTGTTCTTCTCGTTATTTCAGTAATTGTTTTCTTTTTTTTTTTTTTTATATCCGAAATCACGGAAGCAAGTAAACGTTTTTGAAAAAGGCACACAAATAAGGTATTATGATAATCGCCGCGCGCTCGTTCGCGACACAAAATCTCAAGTAGTATTTATTATTATTATTTATTTAACCTCTTCACGCAAGCCGAACGCAAATGTGTGCGTCCTCCCGGGGTCTGGGCCTAGACGTAGAGCGGCCGCACATTTGCGTTCTATTAAAAAAGGACATATGTGCCGAGAGCGCGCGCCCTGCCCGCTCCCAGCACACATGTCCGGTACTCACGGAAAGGTCCCGGTCTCCTCTTTTGATCGGGATCTTTCCCGATCATGTGAACGCCGTGACGACATGTGTCACGGCATTCACATGACCCTAAAAACCCCGCCCCAACCATTCCGCCTCCTGAAACTCTTAAAGGGCCAGGAGGCGCTGGTGTGAAGGGGTTAAGGTACTTGTATAGCGCTGTCAATTTGCGCAGCGCTTTACATATATATTGGACATTCACATCAGTCCCCGCCCCCGAGGAGTGTACAATCTAAGGTCCCTAACTCACATTCATACACATACTAGGGGCAGGTATTGATTTATTACTGTATTTATTTTTTATTTCAGGTACTTATATGGTGCTGTCAATTTATGCAGCGCTTTACATATATATTGTACATTCACATCAGTCCCCGCCCCCGAGGAGCATACAATCTATAGTCCCTAACTCACATTCATACTAGGGACAATTTAGACAGGAGCCAATTAACCTCCCAGAATGTCTTTGGAGTGTGGGAGGAAACTGGAGTACCCAGAGGAAACCCACGCAGGCACAGGGAGAACATGCAAACTCCAGGCAGTTGGTGCTGTGGTTAAGATTATTATTATTATTATACAGGATTTATGGCGCCAACAGTTTGCTCAGCGCTGTACAATATAATGGGAGACAATACAGCAACAATACAGTTCAATACAAGAGGGTTAGGAGGGTCCTGTTCCTCAGAGCTTACAATCGAGGAGGGAGGGGCTAGTGGTACAAAAGGTAGTAACTGTGGGGGATGGGCTGGTTGGAAGAGTAGAAGATTCCAGTATTAGCTGAGGGCAGGATAGGCTTCCCTGAAGAGATCGGTTTTCAGAGATCACCTAAAAGTGAGCAGAGTAGGCGATAGTCTGATAAATTGGGGTAGAGAGTTCCAGAGGATGGGGGAAGCTCTGGAAAAGTCCCAATGACCCTAGTGCTGCCAGGTGGAAGTGCTAATCACTGAGCCACTGTGCTGCCCATTATTATTTATATCATTATGGATTTATAGAGCGCCAACAGTTTGTTCAGCGCTTTACAATATAAAGGGAGACAGTACAATACAATATGTAGCACTTCCCCCTTAGGAGTCGCTGATGTTTTGGGTCCTCCTATAGTCCTGCACAGCCAGGCAACATGCATTTTCCACACAGACTTGCATCCAGGAGACAGTGACCAGTCCTTGAGCTTTGTTTTGAAGTTTTACTAGGAATTGAACTTGGATGGGGTTAGGGGTGTATGGGATGCCCGAGGGTAATGCTAACAAACTCCTTAGTAACTATGTACAAGTCTTTACACAGGAGAAAGTCTTCTGGAGAGCTAGCCAGCATCTCCTGTTGTACCACCCGGGGCCCTAGATGGATCCTCTCCTCATACAGCTGTATTGAGTGAATCCCGGGGCAGGGGGTCCTGTGCCTGCCACTGCAGTGTGAAGCAGTCCCAGGTAAGAAAGCTAATCCAGTTTCCCACTAGAGTGCCTCTTTCCCCTTACTGGCCCCGGGGGTGCAGGTTTACTCATTTAGTCCTTCTCCTGTGCTGCTGGTGGGTTGGTGGCTGCTACAAGGCCTTCTAGCTGGGCCACTGCACAGGTGGTCCTCGCTCTGGGGGCCAGTGAAGTTCTGAGCTTTCCTCCCTCCAAGGTCCTCTGCCTGTAGGTGAGGTCCTCTCCATCTGGGCCCCCTCTAGGGCTCCTGCAATCCAACCTCACTTCTCCATCTTCCACCCAAACATTCCTTGTGCTGAGCAGGCTCTGTCACTATTAAGGGCTTCCTTGGCCCCTTGCTAAGCCTTCTGTTGGGGATTGGTCAGGATCCCTTAGGAGTGCAGGCTAGCCACTCCTTACCTCTTCCCACTGCTTCTAAAACTTTCTCCAAAGTTCTAGTGCAGGGGGAAGAATCAGAGAGCCAGTTTGTAGTGCTTCTCAGCTCTGACCCAGATTTGACCCACCTTGCCATCATGCCCAGGCTGCTACTCAGCCCTCCACACTGAAGATTAGAACTCTAGCTCCACCTAGCTACCTAGGAGAGTGCTACAAATATATTACAAGAGGTTTAGGAGGGCCCTGCTCAAAGGAGCTTACAATCTAATAGGGCGGGGCAAGTGGTACAAAAGGTATTAACTGTGGGAGATGAGCTGATGGGAGAATTAAAAGTTCCGGTGGGTCAGGTCTCTCTGAAGAGATTAATTTTCAGGGATCTCCTAAAAGTGGAAAGAGCAGGAGATAGCCAGACATATTGGGGTAGGCAGTTACAGATTGAGAGGCTCTGGAGAAGTCCTGGAGTTGAGCATGGAAGGAAGTGATGAGGAAGCTAGAGATCAGGGGGTCTTGGGAGGAGCGTGGAGGACGGTTTTGGCTGATATTTTGGGATGAGCCTGGTTATATAGCTCAGGCAAAGTTGTGGATGGCTTTGTATGTTGTTAGTATTTTGAATTGTCTTTGTTAGTTGATCAGATGGCAATGGAGGGATTAGTAGAGAGAGGTGGAGGACACTGAGCGGAGGTCAGTGGAGGGATTGGCAGAGAGGGGTGGAGGACACTGAGTGGAGGTCAGTGGAGGGATTGGCAGAGAGGGGTGGAGGACACTGAATGGAGGTCAGTGGAGGGATTGGCAGAGAGGGGTGGAGGACACTGAGTGGAGGTCAGTGGAGGGATTGGCAGAGAGGGGTGGAGGACACTGAGTGGAGGCCAGTGGAAGGATTGGCAGAGAGTGGTGGAGGACACTGAGTGGAGGCCAGTGGAGGGATTGGTCAAGAGGGGTGGAAAACATTGAATGGAGGCCAGTGGAGGGTTTGGTATAGAGGAGGGGAGAACACTGAGTGGAGGCCAGTGGAGGGATTGGTCGAGAGGGGTGGAAGACACTGAGTGGAGGGATTGGTAGAGAGCTGTGGAGGACACTGAGTGGAGGCCAAAGGAGGGATTGGCAGAGAGGGGTGGAGGACACTGAGCGGAGGTCTGTGAAGGGATTGGTAGAGAGGGGTGGAGGACACTGAGTGAAGGTCAGTGGAGGGATTGGCAGAGAGGGGTGGAGGACAGTGAGCGGAGGTCTGTGAAGCGATTGGTAGAGAGGGGTGGAGGACACTGAGTGAAGGTCAGTGGAGGGATTGGCAGAGAGGGGTGGAGGACACTGAGAGGAAATCAGTGGAGGAATTGGCAGAGAGGGGTGGAGGACACTGAATGGAGGCCAGTGGAGGGATTGGCAGAGAGGGGTGGAGGACACTGAATGGAGGTCAGTGGAGGGATTGGCAGAGAGGGGTGGAGGACACTGAGTGGAGGTCAGTGGAGGGATTGGCAGAGAGGGGTGGAGGACACTGAGTGGAGGTCAGTGGAGGGATTGGCAGAGAGGGGTGGAGGACACTGAGTGGAGGCCAGTGGAGGGATTGGCAGAGAGGGGTGGAGGACACCGAGTGGAGGTCAGTGGAGGGATTGGCAGAGAGGGGTGGAGGACACTGAGTGGAGGTCAGTGGAGGGATTGGCAGAGAGGGGTGGAGGACACTGAGTGGAGGTCAGTGGAGGGATTGGCAGAGAGGGGTGGAGGACAATGAATGGAGGCCAGTGGAGGGATTGGCAGAGAGGGGTGGAGGACAATGAATGGAGGCCAGTGGAGGGATTGGCAGAGAGGGGTGGAGGACAATGAATGGAGGCCAGTGGAGGGATTGGTAGAGAGGGGTGGTGGACACTGAGTGGAGGTCAGAGGAAGGATTGGCAGAGAGGGGTGGAGGACACTGATTGGAGGTCAGTGGAGAGATTGGCAAAGAGGGATGAGTGGTTAGTGGGGTAGATAAGTCTGGCAGCAGCATCCATGATAAATTGAAGGGGGGATAGTCTGCGATGAGGTCGGCCAATGAGAAGGGAGTTGCAATAGTCAAGGCGAGATATAACTGGCGAGTGAATGACTAGTTCGCCGGTGTAGTTGGGTAAGAGGGGCCATGTTTTGGAGATGTTACAGAGATGAAGTCTACAAGATTTATGCAGTGATTGGATTTGGGGCTGATCTGTACTGTGGGAGATATGGGCCTTTGGGGGATCAGTACTAGGAGGTGGGAAATATTTTTGCTTTTCCTCTGTAAAGTGTCCTGCATGTTAGCCATTCCTGACCCCTTCACTCTCTGAATAACACACTCCTTGCTGCTGCGCTCTGTGCCATCTGCCCTCCTGAGTCCAGCCATATGTCATGAATTGGAGCTTACCAGTCCTTCAACGTGGTGGCTGCATTAGTTTTTCCTTTATTTTCATCAGGTGATCCTGCCAGTAACACATTTCCTGTTCTAGTGAGACAACGCTCACTCACTATGCTGATGGAGGGGCAGCAATGTTGTCACAAGACTACATCTCCCCTCTACTTTTCTCCATAACAGTGAATGGGGTTTTTGCATGACGGGGGGCAGCAGAACAGGTGGGGGGCAGTGTGACGGGAGAGGGACAGTGTGATGGGGAAGCATCAGTCCTCCAAGCTCTTACCTGCCCAGCAGAGGCTCCTCCAGATGGTTCCAGGAGCAGTATCTGAGCCTGTGTCCCACCCATCTCCACCAGGATCTCCAACTGCAGCTGCAACAAAGAGCTGGGGGGGGGGGGGGCTTCTCCAGCCAGACCTCCTCTTCTTCTTCTTCCTCCTCCACAGAACCCTTTGCTGCCACCTCCTGGCACTCACCCTGCTCAACCCGGTGCACACTGACAGCCCCGGCCCTCCACCACACACCGAGGATCTGCCCATCACTCCGCCCTCCTCTGCAGCCGTTTCCCTGGCTGCTACTTATGTGACCCCACCACCCCCGTGGTCCCTTCTGCCTGGCGGCGGCACCGCCCTCCTGTAAAATGCCGCCCAAGGCAAACGCCTTGTTGGCCTCACGGCAGATGCACCCCTGCTACTGAAGACACTTCTGCACAGCAAATTCATCCTTCACTGCCCACTCATTGCCGACCTTTGCCTGTCTCTGATCCTGGTACCTTCCCACTCAGCTCTTACTAGACCAGGCTTGGGACCCGGCTCCACCTTCAACCGAACTTGGCATATCCACAGTGTACTGATAGCTGTGTCCCTACTCACCTGATACCAGTGCTCCCAAGCTCCAGCCCACAATGTTGGCACCTTCAAGGGTTGCTTGGACAGGAAGGGTGCAAGAGACCACCCTCAATATCTCAGGCTTGGCATACAGGTGTTCCCATATCACAGTGAAGTGATAGGGTGAAGGGGGGTGCCTGAGATGACTTGTAATTTCTCAAACATTCACTATTCAGGTAATGCGCATTTTGAAGAAAAAGTGACCTTGTGCTGGTCTGCGTCTGATAGCCAAGCTTCCCATATGTATCTCTGAGGACTCCAGAGGCAAAATATCAGCACCTGTGTTGGCAGATCCATCCATCACAGCAGCCAATGCATACAATCTCATCTCTCCCATTTATCTTACAATATGGACAATGCAGGACGCAGCAGACCCATCATCCTGGTTTTATGGCTGTTGGAGGAGGGGCAGAGCTAGAAAATCAGTACAATAAAAGGAGATTTTAAGATTATTGTACAGTATTTATATAGCGCCAGAAGACGATTCACTGAAAGTTCTGACCAATATTTTTGATTTGCATTCACCAGCTACTTTATTAGGTCCACCTGTTCAATGACTTGGTAACACAAATTGCTAATCAGCCAATCCCATGGCAGCAACTCAATGCATTTAGGCATCTAGACGTGGTGAAGACGTACTGATGAAGTTCAAACTGGGGAAGAAAGAGGATTTAAGTGACTTTGACCGTGGCATGGTTGTTGGTGCCACACGGGCTGTTCTGAGTATTTAAAATCTACTGATCTATTGGGATTTTCACGCACAACCATCTCAGGGGTTTACAGAGAATGGACTGAAAAAGAGAAAATATCCAGTGAGCGGCAGTTGTGTGGAGGAAAATACCCTGTTGTTTCCAGTGGTCAACAACATGAAAGCATGGATCCATCCTGCCTTGTATCAACGGTTCAGGCTGGTGGTGGTGTCATGGTGTGGTGGATCCATCCTGCCTTGTATCAATGGTTCAGGCTGGTGGTGGTGGTGGTGGTGTCATGGTGTGGGGGATCCATCCTGCCTTGTATCAATGGTTCAGGCTGGTGGTGGTGGTGTCATGGTGTGGGGGATCCATCCTGCCTTGTATCAATGGTTCAGGCTGGTGGTGGTGGTGGTGTCATGGGTGTGGGGGATCCATCCTGCCTTGTATCAATGGTTCAGGCTGGTGGTGGTGGTGGTGTCATGGTGTGGGGGATCCATCCTGCCTTGTATCAATGGTTCAGGCTGGTGGTGGTGTGGTGGTGTCATGGTGTGGGGGACCCATTCCTGCACTTGTAAAGGTGGTTCAGTGGCTGGGTGGTGGTGGTGTCATTGGTGTGGGGTATCCATTCCTGCCACCTGTATCAATGGTTCAGGCTGGTGGTGGTCCTGTCATGGTGTGGGGGATCCATTGCCTTGTATCAATGGTTCAGGCTGGTGGTGGTGGTGGTGTCATGGTGTGGGGGACCCATCCTGCCTTGTATCAATGGTTCAGGCTTTGGTGGTGGTGGTGTCATGGTAGCGGGGATCCATCCTGCCTTGTATCAATGGTTCTCTGGTGGTAGCGGAGTCATGGTGTGGGGGATCCATCCTGCCTTGTATCAATGGTTCAGGCTGGTGGTGGTGGTGGTGTCATGGTGTGGGGGACCCATCCTGCCTTGTATCAATGGTTCAGGCTGGTGGTGTCATGGTGTGGGGGATCCATCCTGCCTTGTATCAACGGTTCAGGCTGGTGGTGGTGTCATGGTGTGGGGGATCCATCCTGCCTTGAATCAACGGTTCAGGCTGGTGGTGGTGGTGTCATGGTGTGGGTGACCAATGGGGGAGATACTTTTGGCACTAGAAAGGTGGACCTAATAAAGTGGCTAGTGAGTTTAGTTCAAAAATCAATGGGGTCAATATTTCTGCGCACGCTTACCCACTAGATTGTAAGCTCCAAGGAGCAGGGTCCTGGAACCAGGGGTAGCGGGACTGACCAATTTGGAAACTTTTCCCGAGGGCCCGGGTCAGAATAGGGGGCCCCATGAGATGCCCTTGGACCATACTTGGGAATACTTTCTGGATGCTCTGTATGAATAGCGGAGACATCCCACCAATGGGAATACTTTCTGGATGCGCTGTATGAATAGAGGAGACATCCGACCAATGGGAATATTTTCTGGATGCTCTGTATGAATAGCGGAGACATCCGACCAATGGAAATACTTTCTGGACGCGCTGGATGAATAGCGGAGACATCCGACCAATGGGAATACTTTCTGGATGCTTTGTATGAATAGCGGAGACATCCAACCAATGGGAATACTTTCTGGAGCGCGCTGTATGAATAGTGGAGACATCCGACCAATGGGAATACTTTCTGGACGCGCTAGATGAATAGCGGAGACATCCCACCAATGGGAACACTTTCTGGAGGCGCTGTATGAATAGTGGAGACATCCGACCAATGGGAATACTTTCTGGACGCTCTGTATGAATAGAGGAGACATCCGACCAATGGGAACACTTTCTGGAGGCGCTGTATGAATAGGGAGACATCCGACCAATGGGAATACTTTCTGGAGGCGCTGTATGAATAGTGGAGACATCCGACCAATGGGAATACTTTCTGGATGCGCTGTATGAATAGAGGAGACATCCGACCAATGGGAATACTTTTTGGATGCTCTGTATGAATAGTGGAGACCTCCGACCAATGGGAATACTTT